CTAAACAGGACCTTTGCGTTCATTATATATTGAAGTGCTGGTTGCTCATTTTTTATATCTGGCAAAGCAAAAGTACTTTTCCTTTGGAAAAATAAGCCCTTCTGTCTTAAAACACCCTCCCCCCACCAAAAAAAACCACTGCAGTTAATGAAAGGGCGTGTCGGAAGCCTGTAAGTGACCAAAGCAGTGTTGGTTGAGAGACTGAGGCGGAGGTGTGTGCTCTACGTTTGGAAACCATCCTGAGGTTGCTTCTGCAGCACACTGCACTTGGGTGCTGTGTTCTCTTCAAACGGTTCCTTAGAAACCAGGAGCTGGTCTGCATAGAATGGCTGAACCCGGGGGAAATATTTTTGTCTAGCTTAAAGTGCTCACATTTTGGAAAAATCCATCTCAAGTACTGCAGTACACATTCAAATTTATTTAATCAAGATACATTCTCCATTGAGCCCTAATATTAAAAAAAAAAAAGTTTCTAAACTGAGATTTAATAAATTGGGCGGGGGAGACAAAAAACAACAGAAACCCTCCAAGCAACAGAGACCTCCAGAAGATACCAAGCAGTGTTTACTTGGTTCAAGCCGCGCCCATACTCAATAATTGAACTCTTGTAGTGGTCCTCTCAGCATCTCTGGGTACTTGTTAAAAATGCACATTTTCAGGCCCTGCCCTAGACTTGCTGAGTCAGAAGCTCCAGGCTTGGGGCCCAGGAACCTGTGTTTTTAAACAAGCCCTCCAGGTAGACGCCGATGCCCACTCCAGTTTGAGAATCACTGGACTAAGGGCAGTAGGCAATCAGCCTGCATGTGCTCTAGATAATACCAAGAAATTGGAGCTGTGAGTTCCGATTCTACCCACACCACTACCTCTTTCCAGGGCCCTGAAAACATTACCATCTAGATTTCCATTTCCTAAGAAACCTGAGAGCAGACAATGGAAGTCCCAGGTGGAGCAGGGCTCAGTGTTGGGAGAGTGCACCGATGACTTAAAGGCAGGCATGTAAATATGCAGGGAAAGCTCACTGCAGTTTATAGTCAACACTTTATTTTCTTTCCTTGCAAAGCTACAGCAGTAGTGGATTCAGGACCCAGAGCTTGTAGTCATTTGTAACACATTTGGAGTGACTGTGAGAAATGAGAGGCAATATGCAGCAAATTAATAAGGAAAAGATTATTCCATCTGGGGAGCTGGGCTCTGCACCTGCCAACACAGCCCTCTCTCTGTGAAGCAGCTATATTGGTCACAAATTAAATAAGCGTCCTGAATTAATCAGCTATTCACATCCAGCGGAGGAGACTTGGGTTCACCTCTCCGGAATGACCACATTGTAAACACAAAGGGCTTCTCCAGTTGCTGTGGCCAACCTTTTCCTGACTGTGGGAACTGGTGCTGGGAGTAGGACAGCTGGATAACTGATTCCCACCCCCATCCCATGTCTGTGTGCATGTGTGTGTCTGTGTGTGCACGGTTTAGATGCTGCAAACTGCATTTGAAGATTTTCTGTTCACTGGCCGGGGTGGAGGGTGCCCAAATTACCCATCCCCTAGGCAGTATTGCAGCCTGAATTCTGACCAGGCCGCCTTAGGAGCCAGGAGGCCTGGTAGTTCATTCATTAGCTAGGTTGGCCAAGCCACTTCTGGTCTCAGCCTTTGTCTGTGACAGGAAGAGACGGAACTAGATGGTGTTGGAGGTAAATTTCAGCTTTAAGAGTCTATCATTCGTTTTTCCTGCTTCGCTGTTTGTGGTTAAAAAAAANAAGAGTCTATCATTCGTTTTTCCTGCTTCACTGTTTGTGGTAAAAAACAGAGATTTAAGAGGTTTCTCAGGCACCTAAAGGCTGGGGGACCTGGGACTTCACCGCTCATCTGCCCCCTGCATCACGGATGCTCTTACTACTGGGCACTTGTCACCAGATTGAAATCGGAGGCACTCGGGTCAGCATGGGAGTTGGGGAGGC